TTAGAAGCCGAGCACAGGCATTCTGAACCACCTGTAGACGGTTCAGGGAGGTTCTGCTCAGACACGTGAAAAGAGAGTTACAGTAGTCTAAGCGTGAGGAGATGAAGGTGTGGATAACTGTCTCAAGTTCAGAGCGGGACAGAATGGGACTCAGCTTAGCAATGTTCCTGAGATGGAAGAAGGAAGAGCGAACAAGAGAACTAACATGAGAATCCAGGGTGAGAGCTGGGTCAAAGGTCAGGCCAAGATTCCTGATGGATGGTTTGGTGTGAGAAGCCAGCTGACCAAGAGAGTCTCTGACTTTGGGAACCAGCTTGTCTGGGGCACAGATGAGGTTACAATTGTTGTAAATAACCCTGCCGCATTCTGGGGTGGCTACTGCTAACAAAGCCTGAATGCTAACACCAGCCAAATGATACTAAAATAAGAAACAATACGTTAAATTTTATATCAGCTACTGAGAGCAAACAGCTGTTGAAGCAGATAGAAGGCCCCCACTGGCGCACCTACCCATGCCACAAAACTGTTAAGTGCAGTTTTTGGTCAGCAGAGGGTTACAGAGTGATGTGCAATCTGACGTTGGTCAAGTTTCTGCATCAAGAATCACTGAAAACAATTTGAAAGCAATAGCTTAAAGTGTTACAACTCTTTAGTGTTGCTTTAAACATCTCTACTCAGCAGAAAGAGCTGTAAAGTGAATGAACATTTAGCCCATTGGGACAGACCAGAAATTAATTATCTAGATTTACCAGTTTTTAAAATGTGTTAAAAATTATCTCAATTTAACAATAATGCAAGAATTTGTTTAACTAATTAAAAATGCTGAAGAGAAGTGTGTTAAACTAAGTCTACCCTTAGGAAAAATAATGTAACTTCTATGACATTGTCTGTATTTTATGTCATTACATGGTTAGTTATTTGTTGACATCTGTCTAGGACATTTATTCAGAACAAATACTGAACTTTGACCCAGCTTTTTTCATTTGACTGTTTTCAGTCTTTTTTTTTATTTTAGTATTTTTTATGTCTCAAAGATCTTGCCTTATAGACACATCTGTAATGTCAAAACAAGCCCAAATCACCAACCTTCCACCGCCATGCTAGGTAGATGAGTTGCTTGTGCTGATTTGCTGAACTAATTTTTTTTTTCCAACATTGTGTAAAAGCTTTGTAGTTTGTTCTGATCACTTTTGGAGTCCAAGAAAACAAAGGTTGCTATGTTTTTAAGAAGAAAAAAATTCCTCTGATCACCCCTTCGATGGAAGCCATCCTTGATCAGTCTTCTTCTGATTGTTCTGTCATAAATATTAGCTTAAAATCCAACTCTTATTGTGAAAATACCAATTATATCTAGTTTATGTGATCAGCATGTCTCCTTAGAATATGTTTTAATACATTTTATTGTTATGTCAACTAAATTCTAAATTAGAATATCGTGCAAAAAGTAATTTATTTCAAGAATTCAACATAAAATGTTACACTAGTATATAAGGCAGACTCATTATGCATGCAGAGCGAGATACTTCAGTCTTTGTTATTAGCTAGCTGTGCTAAAAGATATTTGACTGACTTACTCACTTGATATAAACCATCCCGTGTGCTTAGGTCTTCACAGCATGACCTACTAGTGGTTCCAAGAGCAAAATGCTCAACTAGAGGAGCAAGGCTTTTTCAGTTTTGGTCCCCAAGCTATGCAATGGTCTTCCACTTGAGGTCCGTCAAGCACCCTCACTGCTGATTCGGATGAAGATGCACTTTTTTTACTGTGGCGTTTCCTCAGCATGTGAGCTAGCCATATTTATAAGATCATTTAGCTAATTTTGATCCAGTTTTGTTGCACTTAGGTACCTTGTTTTTATTTTATTATCATTCTTATCTCCTGCTTTTATCTGTTTTTGTTTATGTCTATTTTTGATGACCATTGTACGGGTCTGTGATGTTTTAGTGTGTACAGCACTTTGGTATTTCTTCAGGCAGTTGGAAGGTGCTATACAGGTCCTTCTCAAAAAAATTAGTATATTGTGATAAAGTTCATTATTGTCTGTAATGTACTGATAAACATTAAACTTTAATATATATTAGATCCATTACCCACAACTGAAGTAGTTCAAGCCTTTTATTGTTTCTAATATTGATAATTTTTGGCATTCAGCTCATGAAAACCCAAAATTCCTATCTCAAAAAATTAGCATATCATGAAAAGGTTCTCTAAATTAGCTATTAATCTAATCATCTGAATCAACTAATTAACCCTAAACACCTGCAAAAGATTCCTGAGGCTGTTAAAAACTCCCAGCCTGGTTCATTACTCAGAACCGCAATCATGGGTAAGACTGCTGACCTGAGTGCTGTCCAGAAGGCCATCATTGACACCCTCAAGCAAGAGGGTAAGACACAGAAATAAATTTCTGAACAAATAGGCTGTTCCCAGAGTGCTGTATCAAGGCACCTCAGTGGGAAGGAAAAAGTGTGGCAGAAAACACTGCACAACGAGAAGAGGTGACCGGACCCTGATGAATATTGTGGAGAAGGACCGATTCCAGACATTGGGAGACCTGTGGAAGCAGTGGACTGAGTCTGGAGTAGAAACATCCAGAGCCACCGTGTACAGGCGTGTGCAGGAAATGGGCTACAGGTGCCGCATTCCCCAGGTCAAGCCACTTTTGAACCAGAAACAGCGGCAGAAGCGCCTGACCTGGGCTACAGAGAAGCAGCACTGGACTGTTGCTCAGTGGTCCAAAGTACTTATTTCAGATAAAAGCAAATTTTGCATGTCATTCAGAAATCAAGGTGCCAGAGTCTGGAGGAAGACTGGGCAGAGGGAAATGCCAAAATGCCTGAAGTCCAGTGTCAAGTACCCACAGTCAGTGATGGTCTGGGGTGCCATGTCAGCTGCTGGTGTTGGTCCACTGTGTTTTTTCAAGGGCAGGGTCAATGCAGCTAGCCATCAGGAGATTTTGGAGCACTTCATGCTTCCATCTGCTGAAAAGCTTTATGGAGATGAAGATTTCATTTTTCAGCACGACCTGGCACCTGCTCACAGTACCAAAACCACTGGTAAATGGTTTACTGACCATGGTATTATTGTGCTCAATTGGCCTGCCAACTCTCCTGACCTGAACCCCATAGAGAATCTGTGGGATATTGTGTAGAGAAAGTTGAGAGACGCAAGACCCAACACTCTGGGTGAGCTTAAGGCCACTATCGAAGTATCCTGGGCCTCCATAACATCTCAGCAGTGCCACAGGCTGATTGCCTCCATGCCACGCCGCATTGAAGCAGTCATTTCTGCAAAAGGATTCCCGACCAAGTATTGAGTGCATAACTGAACATAATTATTTGAAGGTTGACTTATTTTGTATTAAAAACACTTTTCTTTTATCGGTCGGATGAAATATGCTAATTTTTTTAGATAGAAATTTTGGGTTTTAATGAGCTGTATGCCAAAATCATCACTATTAGAAACAATAAAAGGCTTGAACTACGTCAGTTGTGTGTAATTAATCTAATATATATGAAAGTCTAATGTTTATCTGTACATCACAGAAAATAATTAACTTTATCACATATGCTCATTTTTGAGAAGGACCTGTGTAAATAAAGTGATGATGATGATGATGATGATGATGATAATGATAATGAATCCAAAACACCTGCAAATGGTTCCTGAGCCTTTAGATTAGGGATGTGAGAAAATATCAAAAAGGCAATGCATTGTGATAATTTTCTAGTGATATTATATCTATATTCAAAAGCTGTGTGTCGAAAATATCGACATCGCAATATATCGTGTTATATTTTCCTGCAATATCATATCGATATTCAACAGCTGTGCATCTAATTTTGGTAAGAATTTACATGCAAACATTTGTGTATTTTCTTTTCTTTTGGTGCAAATCAAACGCCGACCGCTAGTTGGCAGCAGTGTGCAAAGAGTTTTGTTTCCATCACTGAAATGCAAATCCCTCTGCTATGGTTCAGATACCTCACGATAAACATTTAAGTATCAGTTTGGACTGTTTTCTGAATTCCCCTATAATAAATTCAGTCTAAAATAAACGCTAACATCGTCTGACTGAATGTATTGCAATATATTGTATCGTCTCCCCTGTATTGTGATACATATCATATCGTCATAATTTCACTACTACACATCCCTACTTCTCAGTCTGAGTTGAATCACTGAAATAAATAGACTTTTCACCATATTCAAATATTTTGAGTTTCACCTATAGAGTTTTGTGAGTGTGACTGTGATTTCTGACTTAACCAGAGTCATGACTGTCAGAATAGTAGTATTATTTATTTATACATTTATTCAATTAGTTAGTTAGTTAGTCCACAAGACAGTTTTTGCTTATGCATGTTGTGAGGGCACATCATTATTTATAAGACCACTTTGGAGAAGACATTCTGGTTGAAATGCACCTCCTTTTACATTGACAATGCCTATAGTATAGTGTAAAAGTATTGAGCCATCCCTTATTTCATTACATTTTCAGCAAATATCCAGGCTTTCTGGAGGGTCATTCAAAGTTTTTCTGTATACTTTCTCTGACTTCTCTTATATTTTGAGTCATGGATAATATTCGGCAAAGCAACGTCACTTTAATTTGACCTATGACACATTAAAGTATTAAAAGGTGATCAGCCTCATGGGATGAGCCAGTGTTGCATTTAAATAAACTTGAAAACATAAAGAGACTCCATTCTAAATTGACTTTTTTTTTCAATGTTCCCATTTTCTTTTCTCAGTCTACAAAACAACAAAGACAACACGTTTGGCAGACATGTTTTGCACAGTACTATTAGATATCAATTGTAAACACTTATTAAATACAATTTATCCTAATGACAGGTGGAATATGTAGGTTTAGCGTTGCATAATACCCAAATCCATGAGTTCTATCATTCTGGCTAGAGGCTACAAGGCGTTTGCTTCCATATGTTCCAAACGTGTTGTTGGATCAACTCGCGAGATCAGCAGGCTCGCGGAGTTTTAGCCTGGCACGTGTGTCGTTTTTTTTTAAAGTGTGGCTCTCAGCTGCCGAGGTGGATGATGATGATGGCGGAGCTGATTCAGGGACAGGCCTCGGTTGCTCAGCCAGGAACGAAAGATGACTTCGCAGACACGATACGCCGAGTCCGACAGGTAAAATGCTTATCTGCCAAGACATATGATCTGCTTTCGGACCTGAAACAGCGTGTCTGGATGCGAAGCAGGGCCGAGATTTGGCTCGAGTCTTCCCGGACCATAAACACTCCTCCATGCACCCTGCGAGCTAACATGCTAACAGCAGCCGAGACGGCGGCGTAGCTGAGCGTACAGATTAAAGTTTACAGCGAACGGAAGACGCTTTAACTCGGTGTCAGGGCCGTCAAAAGGACAAACCAAGTCATGTGCGGCGTATGAAACGAAGTTTTTTTGTACTGTCAAAGTTTGTTCTACTTTATAAAGTTAAGTCGGTACGCTGCAACCTGTTGTCAAGTCGCAGAAGTTGCAGTTAGCTTAGCTTGCTAACTTACGAATTAAACTTGCGTGCCTTACAGTGTGAATCTCTGTGTTAAAAACACGTGTAGTTAAAAAGACAAAGTCCCAACAGCTGTTGGCTTAAAGTTATAAGTCAGCATCGATGTAACTAGTAGTTTCCCAGGTTAAGGTGATGTCTAGGTAGCTTAAACTACGCAGCACTGACGTGTTGTTTTCTTTCTTTTACTAATAACGTATTGCATATTGTGTAGCGAATAATGACAAAAACATGTTCAGAACCGTCGTTATCCAGCTATCTCGTGTGACTGCGTGTTCTCGCAGTAGTGTTGGAATTAGGCCATATATTGTAACGTCATTGGTTGACTAAGCCCCCCTCAACACCTCCTATTGACCTCACATGGAGTTTTCCATTACTGTATGACAAAAAACATATAATACAGGGCAAAAATCAGTCTGCATTTCACAACCCTTTCCTGTTTTACCATTATAAACTGATCTAACACTATTCAGATTTCTGTATTAGAGGATTAGTACACCCCTGATAAGGGATTGATTGAATTTTATTTGATTAAGGCCGTGTGCATTAATCAAGTCGGCAATGAATATCAGTGTAAATATGTCAGAATTAGCTCAGTAGCTAAGTTTAATCTGTTGTCCTAAGGCAGGTTACAGTACACACATTGTCCCACAACAGACATGAAAACAAGTATAATATAAATACATATAGATTTAAAACAAGTTAAAACACCAAGTTCTCTGAGAAATCTATTTTTAAAATATAATCGGTCACTCTTGCACGTTGGATGTGAAAATAGTCTTTTACCCTTATTTCCTGCATTGGCTGCTGATATAAAATAGACAGGAAAATGCTTGGTTTAGAAAAACCAGTCCGATATACGTCACATTGAAAAATAGCATTTACGGACTCACCCAACTTGGTGCGCGATGGGGAGTGGAGACGTGCCCAAATTTTAACTATCAGTCGAAAGAGACCGAGAAAGCAAGCTTGTGACCGGTCAGGAGGTGGCTGAAGGAGTACAAAGATGTGTAGCAAGTGTTTTATTCATGGATAAAAAGACGAGAACTATGGGTTTAGAGGTGCCTATCACATGAAAAGGTGGAGTGGAATGAGAAACACATTATTCACATTCAAAAGTTTATTAAATATGTTAAAACTATGTAAATGCACTATCATGAACTGGATACGTGACTGTAATGGTGGCAGTATACCTCAGAATAGCGCTGCGCCCTCTGTTGTCCTGGCGGGGAATTGTTTCGCAACAACCCCCAGCTGACGGAGAAGTCTGAAAGCAAAACGTCTGTCAGTGCGTATGCGTCTCTCCCTTGCGAAGCTGAGGGAGAAGTATAAATTAGGCTAAAGGCCGTTAGAAAACTTAATATTTCAATTGTTTAAAGTGGTACTTCATTAAAAAATCTTTTTTTTTTTAAATTATTTCTGATTTTAACTGGTCATTCTGAGGTCATCATGCAGGCTGAACACGAAAATAGTCTAACCCTATTTCCTGCGTTAGCTTCTGGTAGAAAATAGATGCACCCATTTTGACTCGTGATGGGGAAGGCTGTTGTTTTTGCATCCAGGAAACCGCAGAGAATGTTGCAACTAGTAGAAGCTAACTGTTAGCATTAGGAACTCCACCACACAACAGAAGTCCTTCAAGCTTGTGTTTTTTGGGGAGATGAAGCATCAACGTCTAGGGCTGCAACATTGAATCAATAAAAATCGATAACGCATTTCGTCATCGATTTATTGTGTAACTTTTTTTCGTGTTGTGCAACCTTTCTCAGTCAATACATGCAGCTCATGTGTAGGAGGCAACAGAGCAGACCGAGGCAAATCAGAACGAGAGAGAAATCCGGTGTTTTGATGGGGGTCGACACACTTAGAACAGTAAATTGCTTACTGACGCACAGTGAGCTAATCAATGTTCTGTGGAGAAAAACAGAAACCAGCAAAGACACAAAAGCAGAAACGGTCTGGGATGAAAAGTGCAACTATGAGTAAATTAGCTAATGCTAGCAAGTAGCAGGCTCATGATTACGTAGGGTTCTGAAAAAACATGATGGATGTGAAACTAAGGCCCTGTCCACACGTAGCCGGGGATCTGCCAAAACGTAGATATTTTTCTACGTTTTGGCCTGTCATCCACACGAAAACGGAGTTTTTTCACACGAAAACGGATCTTTTTAAAAACTCAGGCCAAAGTGAAGATCTGCGTTTTCTCCGTTTTGGGTGTCTGTGTGTGGACAGACAAAACCGGAGTTTTAAGGTCCGCAACGTCACTTTCCGCGACAAAAAATGCTGACATCACGTGTGCGACCTGTGTTTACACTAGCCGACATCATGGAAGCCTTCAGAGCTGCGCTATGTCACTACCCAATCCATCAATTGTCCAAGCGCTTTCTGCTTGTTTGTTTTTGCAAGCGGAATTACTGCTCCTTGCGGAAGACCACAGGCGAAGGACGAGGTTAAGACCGGGGGAAGTACTGCCGCCTACAGGTCTGGCATGTCCATAACAACGTATTTATCCGGGTACGTGTGGACAGAGTTTGTTTTTAAAACGTGGTGGTGTGGATGCAAGTTTTTATGGGGCGGATATTCGTTTTTAACAAACCCCGGCTACGTGTGGACTAGGCCTGAGAGCATCTAAACTCTTACAGCAGAAGAAAAGTCCTCACTATCCTGTTTATTCTTAGCCGACTGCAACGCTATGGAGTAGAACCACTTCCGTTACTATCGAGTCTGCTCTGCTAAACACCGCAGCAAGATTGTGGCAAGCCACTGTACCATGTAATTCACAAACGCATCCATTTGTAAACATAATTTAAACATGATTATTGCCTAACCGTACACAATAAATGTCACCATAACATTTTTTGCAGATATTAACGCATTCGCTGCCAGCTGTTTCCTGATCGGTAAGGCCCTTCGCTGCCACCGTTTCTCACCGTGTTAACTGTTGAAGATTCACAGAAAGTTGCGCATTAGGATGATGTCGACGCCAAAACAAAGCAGAGACTTGCCTCTTACATCAGGATGAATCTGCGCGTTTCGAGCTTTAGCCGTTCTTTCATAATCTGTTGTTGAATTATGATCGGCAGAAGCTTTTCCGGTTCGCGCCTCACTTTTTTTTTTTACAGCAGTGGCCCAAAATGATTTCCTAACACATGGATTTTCTGCTTCCTGATCATGTGACGTGTGACGTACACTGATTGGCTTTAGAGCTGAGATGTTTGTTCTCACAGTGCGGGGGCTCGTTCCGATGCCCACACAGTAAAAAAATGCAAATGACGACTTAAGTCGTCAATGGCAGTGAATGAGATAAATGTTATTAACATTTCCAGTAGCTTACTACTGAACATTTTAATGAAATGCATACAATTTTACTGATCATAGTTTAATTATGTATATATTTAGATGGTAGCCTGTTAAGCACGCTATTGAAATGTTTTCTAATCATGTTTTGTTATTAAAGCAAAAGGAAGGAGAGAAAAAATGTTTCCCTAGAAGTTTTTAATTAAGTAATTTAGCTGACGGCATTGGGATACGTGGGGTCTTTTTAATCTGTTAAGCAGTTTGAGTTACATTTTTTTGTATGAAAAGCATTTTATAAAGTTTTATTTGATTTGATATTTTCCTGATTCATCGAGTCGAAACCCCATCCGATTCATCAACAATCCAAATAATCATTTGTTGCAGCCCTATTTGCAAAGCAGTTCAAGTTGGTGGTAGAGTTGCGTTGCTGTTGGACAATCCAAGGCCTGTTTTCCAAATACCAGGAAAAAAGACTAAATCTTATCGTCTGAACCTCAACTATGATCTGGCTCGTTTCTAGTTCCTGAAACAGGCACACCTTATTTTAATTTTGGCACCCCACTGCCTTAGTTTTTGGAGAGAAAAAAAATTCAGTTTTTAGAAACAAAGCATTAACAGCATTAACATTGTACACTCATAATCAACTTCACTTTACTTCCCTTATAAAGTTTGCTTGCCGTATCTGTGGCTGCAGACACAGGTCAGTAAAGTCTGCCTCACACCTGCTTTCTTTTATGTCTCTATTTGCATTGCAGCTTCGCCTCCCCCAGTGGCATTCTGAAGTAGATAATCACCCCTGAAGGTGAAGGGAAACTCTAATTTCCATGAGCATATTTTTGGGTACACATGCCAATTTAGTGTAATTTTCTGAAATGCTATACTTTAGTGTAAAAGGAGCGGTGACAGATTAAGGCAGAATAGAAAACACTCTCATGCAGAAGACTTAAATGTCCATTTCTGCAGACTGTGGGAGTCTACTTGAGATTGGCAAGTGGGTTCTTTTGAAAGTAGATGTATTTTTCTCTATGCCTTATACAAGTGATAGCACTTTTGTTGTAGTTTTAAATGAGAGGTGGAACACACTGCCAGAAAAACGGATGCATTTTTGAGGTGCTCAAAAATGCACCAATGGTAATTACTCTGTGGTTGAGGCATCATCTGACTTTGATCACAAACAAGCTTTTGTTAAAGCTTTAACTTGCTGTTTTTCCTCTTGGAATGATTAAAGTTGAATGCTGAAGCACATATTTGTTTGTTGTTGTTTGTGGAGAAACAAGTAAACTTGTAACCTGGTTTTAAAAGGTGACCTGGGCACAGGAGTTAAGTG